CCACCCAGGCACGCCGTGCGTGGACCCCCAACACCCGAAAGTTGATTTCTTCGCCCCGTTCTTCTACGTTTGGACCCCCGTTTGATTCCAAACATTTGTATAAACCTAATAACATCTTAATGATATGTAAAAACATTAGAAAATGTATCTTACATGGTGTATAAATGTAGGAACATTAAAGATCAATGGTAGGTGTGCGAGGATCCTCATCGATACCGGGGCACAACGCTCATTTGTGAGTGAGGCGTTCGCCGAGGGCCTTGACGTGCCATTGACGCCTATGACGCAAACGTTGCTAGTCTCCACACCGTTAGGGGACGATGTGGAGAGAAATCATTACTATCCATCATGTGAGGTAGAGGTGACGGGTCAACCCTTGACTTGTGATTTCGTACCTCTAAGCATGTTGGAGTTCGATGCAATCCTAGGAATGGATTGGCTTGAGAAGCACCATGCTCGAGTAGATTGCTACACCAAGGTGTTGGAGCTCGAGGATGATCTAGGAAACACGCTTTGTTTCGAAGGAGATCGGGGGAAATCTAATGCTTGTATCATATCCGTGATGAGAGCACGAAAGATGATGAGGAAGGGATGCCACGCGTACCTTGCTTATGTGGTAGATGATACGAAGAAAGAAGTCGACATCAAGGATGTTCGAGTCGTGTGCAAGTACCCGGACGTCTTTCCCAAGGACCTACCGGGGCTTCCACCCGATAGAGAGATTGAATTTGTAATCGAAGTGGAGCCGGGAACCAAACCCATTTCGATTCCTCCTTATCGAATGGCACCGGCCGAACTTCAAGAGTTGAAGGTCCAACTACAAGAATTATTGGACAACGGATTCATCAGACCCAGTCATTCACCGTGGGGGGCACCCGTACTCTTCGTGAAGAAGAAGGATGGTACACTAAGAATGTGTATTGACTACCGACAATTGAACAAGGTCACAATCAAGAACAGGTATCCCTTACCGAGGATTGATGACTTGTTTGACCAACTTTGGGGGGCAATAGTGTTCTCGAAGATTGATTTGAGGTCGGGGTATCATCAGTTGAAGATCAAGGAGAGCGACATACCTAAGAGTGCATTCCGCACTAGGTATGGTCATTACGAGTTCCTTGTAATGTCATTTGGTTTAACCAACGCACCGGCGGCATTCATGGACTTGATGAACCGGGTGTTTAGTGAATACTTAGATCAATTTGTGATAGTATTCATTGATGATATCTTGATATACTCCAAGAGTGAGGAGGAGCACGAGCATCATTTGGGGCTTATACTTGATCGGCTAAGGGAAAAGCAACTCTTTGCCAAGTTCTCTAAATGCGAATTTTGGCTCAAGGAGATTGGTTTTCTCGGTCACGTCATATCCGGTTCGGGCGTAGCTGTGGATAACGCCAAGATAAAAGCTATCATGGATTGGGAGAGACCCAAGAATGTGAAAGAGATACGTAGTTTCCTTGGCTTAACGGGATACTATCGTAAATTTGTTGAAAAATTCTCCGTATTGGCGTCTCCATTAACGAAGCTCACAAAGAAAGGGGCCAAGTTCATATGGGACGACAAGTGTGAGAAAGGGTTCCTTGAACTGAAGAAACGACTTACCGAAGCACCAGTCCTTGCCCTACCCATACAGGGGATAGGGTATGACATTTACAGCGATGCTAGCATCCAAGGGCTTGGATGTGTACTAATGCAAAACGGTAAGGTGATTGCCTATGCTTCTAGGCAATTGAGAAAACACGAGGTGAACTACCCTACTCACGACCTAGAGTTGGGGGCGGTAGTGTTTGCATTGAAGATTTGGAGGCATTATCTCTACGGGGAAACGTGTCACATTTATACTGATCATAAGAGCTTGAAGTATGTATTCACTCAGAAAGAGTTGAATATGAGGCAGAGGAGATGGATGGAGTTGATCAAGGACTATGACTTGATCATCGACTATCATCCCGGAAAGGCCAACGTAGTGGCCGACGCACTGAGCAGGAAGAGTACGTCAGGGACGTTACTTACTTGTCTGCAGGCATTGAGGGCACGCGTGGAGGTGTCCACGTGCGGGACTCTCATTGCTCAATTTGAGGTTAGGCCCACCCTATTGGGCGAGATTAGTCGAAGTCAGGCCATTGATGAGGAATGTCAGAAGATCCGTGAAAGAATCCTTGAGGGACCCGTTGAGAATTTTCGGGTACGTGATGACGGACTTTTATTATTTAAGGATCGTGTGTGCATACCAAAGAATGAGGAACTCCAGAAGTCTATACTTGAGGAGGCTCATTCTTCAGCTTATGCTATGCATCCAGGAGGTACTAAGATGTACCGGGACCTGAAGGAAAGTTACTGGTGGTCGGGTATGAAGAGAGACATCGCCGAGTATGTGAGTCGATGCCTTACTTGTCAGCAAGTCAAGGCAGAACACCAGCACCCGGCAGGACTTTTGCAGCCACTCACCATCCCAGAGTGGAAGTGGGAGCACGTGACCATGGACTTCGTGGTGGGGCTACCACGAACAGTGAACAACTATGATGCAGTTTGGGTAGTGGTTGATAGGCTCACCAAGAGTGCACACTTTTTGCCTATCAACATTACTTATCCACTTGAAAGATTGGCCAAGCTATACACGGAGGAGATTGTGAGATTACATGGAGTCCCAATATCCATTGTCTCAGATAGGGATCCACGATTCACATCCCGATTTTGGCCAAAGTTTCAAGCATCTTTGGGGACCAAACTGAAGTTTAGCACAGCTTTTCACCCACAGACGGATGGACAGTCCGAGCGGGTGATACAGATTTTGGAGGACATGCTTAGGGCATGTGCTTTGGAGTTCCAAGGAAGTTGGGACAAACATTTAGCCCTAGTGGAGTTTGCCTATAACAACAGTTATCAGGCAAGTATCGGCATGCCTCCATATGAGGCATTGTATGGGAGGAAGTGCATAACACCGTTGTGTTGGGATGAGGTTGGCGAGGCCAAACTCGAAGGGATAGAGCTGGTTGAGATCACCAAGGCCAAGGTGAGGATCATTCGGGATAGACTGAAGGCCGCTCAGGACCGACAGAAGAGTTATGCTGATAAACGGCGGAGACTGTTGGAGTTCGAAGTCGGTGATGAGGTCTTCCTAAGGATTTCTCCTTGGAAGGGCATCATCCGATTCGTATCGAGGGGGAAGCTTAACCCCCGATACATAGGACCGTTTGAAATCCTTGAAAGGATCGGGGCTGATGGATAGTCTACCCGGGGGGTATCTTATCCGAGGGGTTATTGCAGGAATAACTAGAGAGAAGTCAGAGCAAAATAGGAGGAGAGAGAGTCGATTTTATTAAATGAACTCGAGATGTGGAGTTGAGATGTAGATCATGTTTTACAAGGAGAAATGGGCTGCTATTTATAACAGCAATAAATGCGATGAGAGGACACGTGTCAGTAATCCAACGGCCGAAGGGTCACATCAACCGGTTGGCACCGGCAGTGGTACGTTCACCGCATTGAATGCGGTTGGCGGATGTGACGCGGCTTTAAATGCGGTGGTTGGCTGTCCCCAAAAGGAATCTTTGATGATTGAGCTGGTTCAGCCGAAGGCTCCTTGTGTAGCCGAGGGCTCCATGTGACCAAGGACCCCTGTGTAGCCGAAGGCCTTGTGTGATCGAAGGCTTTGTTCAGCCGAAGGCTTCCCTGATGCCGAGGGCTGGATAATGCCGAAGGCTCATGTTTTTCGCCGTTTTCTCCCAGTAGCCCCTTATGCCAGAGAAGGCTACCCTGTGAGATTTAGAGCCTTCGGCCAAGGAGGCCGAAGGCACCCCAGTGCGTATTCTGGGCTACGTTGAGGCTTGGGCCGCTGTACTTTGGGCCTGAGTTGTTCTCTGGGCTCAACGGACTTGTGTAGGAGAAGTAGGAGTCTATGGGCCGGGGGTTCCTGGGCCATATACTCCATCAGGAGTCCCTCACTCCTTTTGTCGAAAGGTACTTGAGGGAAAAGGAGTAGAAGTGTAGATTCTTCCGGAGGCTTCATCATTTGGTTGGGTGCATTTGTTTGAGAATTTGCCTTCTGTTGATAGCCGAAGGCTTCCCTCAGTCCCTCACATGCCGAGGGTTTTCTGAAGGAAGTGTAACGCTTGTATGAATGCCGGAACCTCTCCTCAGTTCCTCACATGTCGGGGGTTTTCTGAGGGAGGCGTAAATAATATCTGAATGTGTTGTGATGAAGGCTGTTTTATTATCGTCAGTGACTTTGTGGAGCATTTTTTATTTTAGGCCTCTACCGAAGGGGTGCGATGATGCATGTACTCGAGGGCTACATGCGTTATCCGTGGGAATTTTTGTTTTTAGTCACGTGTGATTACCGAGGGGTGTGTCCCAGTCCCCCACTCCTTTAGACCGAAGGCTTAGTTCGGGCTGAAGGAGTTGTGATGTTTGCTTATGACCCCGAGGGGTAATCTCTGGCTGGTGAGTGCCAACACTGATAGCCGGGGGCTTATGCTCCTGGCAGTTCGAAGGTGCTTGTCGAATTTTGTTGGGCGGAGGTTGTGGTGAGTGATAGCCGGAGGCTATCATTCGAGGGCACCCCAGTGTTGCCGAAATATAGTCGTTGTAATATAGCCGTTGGAAGAGGGTTCCACGTGGCGCTTTGTCATTGGCAGATGGGGGGCGGGTGTCACCCATTGGTTGAACCGGCGGCCCGTAATGATGGGCTTTCGAGTCGAGGCCCAGTTTTCGAGGCCCAGTTGCCTATAAATACTCCAAGTCTGATTCATTTGTCGTTGTGTGATTTTATTGAAGCGAAGCTCTGCCAATTTTTCTAGAGAGAGAAACCGAGTTCCGATCAAAACCAAACCCTAAGGTCAGTTCTTCACCTGTTCTTCCTCTTTTCAACATATTTTGCTATCCCGGCCTTAGATCTAGGGTTAGCGTCTTTTAGGAGCCTTCGGCTGGAATCCTTGAGTAGTATCCCTTCCTAAGTCATCCACAACCCCTTCGGGTAAGATGTCATCCCAAAGTGATTCGCAAGATATCTCGAGGGGGCCGTCGGTAGAGGTCGAGAGCGTTTCCGAGGTGGAATCCTCAAGCGAACAGCCCTCGACGAACAACGACCTTGCCTTAGCTGAGGAGGTACAGAGCAGCCTTCGGGCAGAGATGGAGGCGGAGGAGTTTGAGCAAGTGGTGGAGGATGAAGAGATGGCCATCGCCGTCCAAGTGGCTGAGGAAGAAGAGGAGAAGGAGCGCCGTCGGGTAACGGTTGCTGTTATGCCCTCACGGGGAGCTGGTGAGGCGAGCACCTCTCGCCCGTTGGATGTTCAACCCCTCAGGGTAGCCGAGGGTAGGAAGAAGAAGTCGAGGGTCGCCCCGAAGAAGAAACAGGCAGCCGTGGATGCGGGGAGGCCGGTTGGGATCCCCGAGGGTCACTCCTACTTGGATACCACTGCCTTGGAGGTGAAGACTACGGCCTCGAGTGCCGACTGCCACGCCCTCCAGGTCCTCGTGGGGCCATCGGCACAAGTCGTGGAGCCGGGGCCCGAAGACTTGTTATCTCATCCCCCGGAGGGATGTTTTGCGGTGCACACGTTGTCGGTGGAGTTGGGCCTCAGGTTCCCACTTCATCCCTTCGTCCTTGAGTACCTAAGGTACGTGAAGCTGGCCCCCTGCCAGCTTACCCCGAATAGCCACTACTACCTGGCGGGCTTCCTATCTCTATGCCGAAGCCGGAAGGTGGAGGCCACGTTGGAGCAGTTTTTCCTCTCATTCAACTTGTGCCGAGGGGGGCACTCTCATGCCGGCGGGTACGCGAATCTACAGCAGGTCCCTGCCTGGAAGCTTTTCTCCGAGACTCCTTCGTCTCACAAGGATTGGAAGGAGAAGTTTTGCTACGTCAGGATAGCGGAGAATCCATTCCCGGGGGCTTTGCGGGATCACTTCAAGAGACACCCGAAGGTGGGTAGTGCGGCCCTCCAGAAGGCCGGCAAGAAGCTGATGGAGAAACCCGAGGGCTCGGACAAAGTCATCGCCATCAAGCAGGCCACGTTGGCCGAGGATCTGTACCTGCTGGGCTTCCGGAGGTATCGCCTTCCGGGGGATAAGGATGAGAAGTATCCCCTGATTGATCGTGGGTACTTAAACTCCGGAGGTTGTTGCCGAGGGCTTTGATTTTTGGTACTTAGAAAATTTCTCTTTCATTCGTTGCGGTTCTAACCGTTCCTTTTCTTGTGCAGGTGATATTATGGATCCGAAGGCGTTCGCCAAGCTGACTAAGAAGCTTTCCAAGGAGCCCAGGAAGAAGAAGGAGGAGGGGTCTTCCTCACAGCCCCAAGTAGGTGCCTTCTTCGAGAAGGAGAAGACCCTTGAGGGTCAAGGGCCCTTAAGGGAGGCCACCACCGTGCATGCCGGTGCTGACGCCGGAGGCTCCAAGGCGGGGGAGCTCAAGAGGAAGAACGCCGGGAAGGGCTTACAGCCCCCGGAGAAGAAGAAGGCAAAGGGGGACGCCGGACAGAAGGATACCCCCGTGGTGGTTATTGACGACCTCCCGGCCGGCCAACCGTCAGCCTCTGCTCCCCTAGAGGATCTCGTCGAGGGGGCCTGGCCCCTCGAGACTGTACATTTCCCAATCAAAAAGGGAACAGCCATCATGCATGGCACCCTCGATCCGAGGGAGTTCTTGAAGGGTGCCACTCCTTCGGTAGATCGGTCCACCCTCAGCCGGTTCGGGGATGAAGCCCTCGAACTTAAGGCTCTCCAAGCTTCGGCCACTGTAAGCGTTTATATCTTTTGCGCCCTTAGCTCCTTTTCTCTTTTCTTTGAATAATCTGATATTGAGTGCCTCCTTATATGTTTGCAGGCGAGCCTGGCCTTCGGGGAACTGGTTCGTAGGGCGGAGCAGCATCGCCTCGAGAGGGCAAAATCCGCCGAGGTGACGAGGAAGCTGGTGGCCAATAATACCGAGGCCATTCGGCAGCTGGCGATTTTGGAGGAGGCCCTCCGGCAGGCGGAGAAGAAATTGGAGGCAGCCAAGGAGGGAGCCCGGGCCGAGGGGAAAGCTGAAGCCGAGAGGGCCGCTGCTGAGGCCGCCAAGATAGCCGCCGAGAAGGCTGAGGAGGCTAAAGCGGAAGCTATCTCTAAGGCCAAGGAAGAGGCGGTGGCGGCTTTTATTGCTGACGGCTGGAAGGCCGAAGAGCAGAAGCAGTGGGTGGCCTCAGTGGTGGAGGCTTCTGCTGATGGCTGGGTGAAGGGCCCCGGGGCAATGTGGTTGGCCCTGAAGGGCAAGAGTTTTTATGAGGGTGCCCAATTTTTCACCCAGGCCATGCTCTATCGAAGGCTGGCCCGGCATCACGGAGTAGAGCCGAAGGACTTCAAACCGGAGAATTATGGCCTCCCCCCTCTTCTTCCTGACGTGAGAATCCCCCTTCCTGAGGGTGAAGAGAGGCAACTGCTCGAGGACTCTGAACTGGCCAAGTGCGCCGATGATGATGATGATGACGAGGATGCCGAGGATGATGCGGCCTCCAAGCCGAAGGAGGATGGAGCTGAAAACGTCCAATCTTGAAATTTCCCTCACAAATTTGTAATAGCTTGTAATCTCCGGCTTCGGCCATGATTGTAAACAAATACACTTTCTTTTGTAATGAGTGAATGTTTTGCCTACGGGCTTTTTGAATGAGTAGTATATGCCTTTTCTCCATTTGTATTCGAATATATGTCTTTGCTTTCTTTCATTGGTGTATGAGTGTTTGTCTTTCCTCCCTATCGCTTGTATTCCCGAAGGCCATAAGTTTATGGACTTAGAAATTTCTCTAAGTAAAACCCTGCAGCAAGCCTCCTGTTGTAGCGTGAAATTACCGGGGGCCATTAGTTGTGGACTCAGAAAATTTTCCAAGAAAAACATGATCAGAACCCTTCGGATGTAGAGTAGAGTCACCGGGGGGCTCGTGATTGTTTACTTAGGAATTTCCTAAGTAACATTCCCACCGTAGGTCTCCGGTAATGTCATTGGAATTGCCCCCGGGTTGTAGCAGTAGCACCGATGGCTGACATGAATTAGACTTAGGAAATTCTCCAAGCTAATTTCACTGTAGGCCCTCAGTGTTGTTGAGGCCTTCGACCTTCAGTGTAGCACTAGGTCCCCGTCGGGTAGCTGACAAAGATACAGCGGGTCCTTCGAATGTGAGGATTGCTCGAGCCCCCTTGGTGTGTAGTTGCCGAGGGGTTCAAGATTATGGACTTAGTGAAATTTGAGAACTGTCCTCAATCGGTCTCGTTAGCAGCCTCCGGTTAGATGAGTTCTTCCCGAAGGGTTCCAAATTGCGGACTTAGGAGTTTTTCAGCGTTGAATGAGTCTGGTGTCATCCTGCCTTCGGCATGGTGCCTCCGGTTTTCCGTGAGCCCTCTTCTCGGGCTTTTAGGGCCTTATGTAGTGGAGCCCTCGGCTATGTAGCCGGATGACTTGTTGTTGAGAGTAGTATCCGGGGAGTTCCTTCCCCCCTACACATCCCTTTTTTTTTTTTTTTTTTTTTAGGATGGTGTAGGAGGGGCGTCTAGAAACTTGGTTTCTAGGGAAGGCTTGGCCTATATGGGAGGCAACGGAACGAACCGTTGGCTCCTCCTTCGGGAATGACCTTCCGATATCCCGAAGGGTTTGAGGGTCGTTTCCTCGGCCCGAGACATCGTCTGTTGCCTGCTTCCCCTTGGGAGATAGCACGGAAAGCGCCTCGGTTTTGAAAGTCGTCCCCTCAGCCCGAGACATGGTCTGTTGCCTGCTTCCCCTTGGGGGATTGCGCGGGGAGCGTTTCGTTTGTGGAAGTCGAATCCTGGGCCCGGGACATGGTCCGTTGCCTGCCTCCCCTTGGGGGATGGCGCGGAAAGCGTTCCTGGGAAGGGTTTTATTTGTGTGTGTGGGACACAAATAGCCGGGGGCACTTGGTACCAGCCGGAGCCGAGGGGTATTGCACCCCCCGGTTTTTTTTTTTTTTTTTATGAGTGTATGTAAAAGTATGCATAATGTATGCATGGTTGCGTCCTCGTGGGGTACGGCTTAGTGAGAAAACACTTGGTGTTTTCATAGAGTGATGGGGGTGACCCATACACTTGGTACTTGGTACCTAAATTGTTGTTCCCCCTCCTAAGAGGAAGAGGCCTTGGGCCTATTCTGGTGAAGAGACGAGGGCTTGGCCACTCATTTGTAGGAGAGAAGGGGGGGGGGGGGGGCCTTGGGCCACTTGTACAATATGTAGGTGATGAAGGCTTGGCCTTTTGATTATTCCTCAAAAACAGATGGGGCCTTGGGCCATTGACATTTACACTTGTTGAGGATGAGGGGTTGGCCGCTCATTGATAAAACTTTACCAGGTGGTGCACATTCCAATGTCTAGGAATCTCTGTCCCATCAGGACGTTTTAATTTGTATGCCCCCGGTTTGATGATGGCTGAGATGATGTAGGGGCCTTCAAACTTGGGCGCCATCTTTCCTCCTTCGGTGGGTAGACTGGCCTCCCTTCGTCGGAGGACGTAGTCTCCCACCTGGAATTCCCGGGAGCGGACCTTGGCGTCGATGTAGCCTTTGACTTGTCTCCTATAGTTTTCGGCCCTGAGAAAAGCTTGCTCTCGGCGTTCCGAGATGAGATGAAGGTCGAGGGACATGCTGGTTTCGTTGACCTCGGGCTCATATTGTTCCACCCTTCGGGTAGGAAGGGTCACTTCAGTTGGAGCCTTAGCCTCAAAGCCATAGCATAGGGAGAAGGGTGTTTCGCCTGTTGCACGCCGAGGGGTGGTGCGGTAGGCCCATAAGATGTTGTGTAACTCTTCTACCCAGCCTCCCCCTTCGGCTTCCAGTTTCTTTTTCAACCCTTCAAGTAGGGTTCGGTTGGCGTTCTCTACTTGCCCGTTGCCTTGGGGGTAGGCAACGGAAGAAAAGGTGTGTTTGATGCCCCATGCCTCCAGGAGGGCACAGAAGGGGGCTGCCTCGAATTGAGTCCCGTTGTCGGAGATGATTTGTTGGGGGACGCCAAACCTCGTCAGGATATTTTTGAGAACAAAGCGGCGGCACCGGGCTCCAGTAATGCTGGCGAGGGGCTCGGCTTCTACCCATTTGGTGAAGTAGTCAATGGCCACGATGATGTACCTGTTGTTGGAGGTACCCCTCGGCAGAGGGCCCACCAGGTCGATACCCCATCGGGAGAAGGGTATGGCGGTGCTGATGGGGGCGTAGTTGACCGCGGGCCTGCCGGGGGCCTTCTGAAAGTGTTGGCAAGCGGTGCACCTTCGGGCTAGATCAGCACAATCTCTAGCCATCGTGGGCCAGAAGTAGCCTTGAACAATGAGCCTTCGGGACATGGAGAAGGGCCCCTGGTGAGCTGAGCAAGTGCCACTGTGCACCTCCTCCATAGCGACTTCGGCTTCATCTTGATGAAGGCACCGAAGGAGGGTGCCGTTGTAAGATCTTTTGTAAAGCCTTCCATTCTCGAGGGTGTAGCTGGGAGCCCTCAGCTTTGCTAACTTGGCGCGGGCTTCGTCCTGGGGCAGTTGCCCTGTGGTAATGAAGGCGATGATGTCGGAGATCCAGTCCTCCGGCCTCAGGTTAATGTTCATGACGGGGCTCGCGTGGATGCTTGAGAGACTGAGTTCCTCAATTCTTGCAATCTTCGAGAGGTGCTCGGGGGATTCATCCGAGAGCTTGGATAGAATGTCGGCCTCAGAGTTTTGAGCCCTCGGTATTTGGGTGAGGGAATGTGCCTCAAATACCTCAAGCAACTCCTTGGCAGCCTCCTTGTATTGTTTCATCCTCCCTTCTTTGGCTTCGTACTCCCCGGAGATTTGACCCACGACGAGTTTGGAGTCACACTTGACGTGGACCATCTTAGCCTTCAGATTCGCTGCCAGCCGAAGGCCACAGAGGAGGGCTTCGTACTCGGCTTCGTTGTTGGAGACTTTGAAGGAGAAGCGGATGGCATAATAGGCGCGGAAGCCCTCGGGAGTAATGAGGACTACTCCCCCTCCACATGCCTTGGTGGCCGAGGAGCCATCGGTATAGAGGGTCCACCACTCATCAAGGGGTGCCGAAGGCTCCCCATCCACCGCTGATCTCGCGGTGCATTCCGTTACGAAGTCTGCCAGGGCTTGGCCCTTAATGGCAGGCCTCGGACGGATGTCTATGTTGTATTGGCTGAGGAAGATGGCCCATTTTACCATCCGGGAGGAGCTAGTGGGACTCCTCATGAGGGCGCCGAGGGGTTGATGAGTGAGCACTTGAACTGGATGGGCTTGAAAGTAGTGGCCAAGCTTCTTGACGGTCCATACGATGGCTAGCACCGTCTTCTCAACGGGAGAATACCTTAGTTCGGCCTCCCGGAGGGTTTTGCTGACGTAGAAGATGGCATGTTGGATGCTGTCTTCCTCTCGGATTAGTACTGAGCTGATAGCCGCAGAGCTAACACCGAGATATAAGTATAAAGTCTCCCCCACCTTTGGTTTGGAGAGTACTGGGGGAGAGGAGAGGTACCTCTTGAGTTCATCGAAGGCCTCTTGACATTCAGATGTCCATTGAAAACCCGCCGTCTTCCTCATGATTTGGAAGAAGGGGAGAGCCCTCTCGGCTGACTTTGAGAGGAAACGGTTGAGGGCTGCCAGGCGACCCGTCAACCGTTGGACTTCTTTGACGTTGCGTGGAGGCTCCATGTTGATGATGGCCTGAATCTTTTCGGGGTTGGCCTCAATACCCCTTCGGCTTACCATGTAGCCCAAGAACTTTCCTCCCTGCACGCCGAAGGTGCACTTCTTTGGATTTAGCCGGGGGTTGAATTTTTGCATGATGGCGAAGATTTCCCGGAGGTCGTCGGCGTGAGTGCCTGCCTTCTTGCTTTTGACGATCATGTCGTCAACGTAAGCCTCCATGGTGCGTCCTAGGACAGCTTGAAAAACCCTAGCCACCATGCGCGTGTAGGTGGCGCCTGAATTTTTGAGGCCGAAGGCCATCACAAGATAGCAGAAGATGCCTTCGGGTGTCATGAAGGCAGTTTTTTCAGCGTCCTCCTCATGCATGTAGATCTGATGGTATCCGCGGAATGCGTCGAGGAATGACATGATTTCGCATCCCGCGGTCTCATCAACCAGCTGATCAATGTTTGGCAGTGGGAAGGGGTCCATGGGGCACGCCTTATTTAGGTCCGTGTAGTCCACGCACATGCGGAAGGTAGGAGGCTTCTGTGCGAGGACTACGTTTGCCAGCCAAGAAGGGTATTTCACCTCCTTGATGTTCTTGATGGAGAGGAGCATAGATACCTCCTTCTTTACGAACTCCCTTCTCTCGGCCGAGAGGGGTCTTCTCCGCTGCTGTATTGGTTTGGCCGAAGGGTCCACCGCCAGGCGGTGGGTGATAACCCTTCGGTCAATACCTGGCATGTCCTCCGGCCCCCATGCAAAAACAATGGGGTAGGCGCGGAGGGCTTCGGTGATGCCAGCCTTCAGGTCTTCGGGGAGCTTGGCTCCGATCTTCAGGACTCTCTCCGGCTTGGCCGGATTGAGTACCAGGTCTTCAGTCTCCTCAGCAGGCTCAGCCCTCGGCCTGCCTTCCTCTTCCTCCAAGGCTTTGGTGGTGATTGCGTCAACACGAAGTTCAGTCTTACTAACCTTCTTGGTAAGCTGAAGGTAGCATACCCTGGAGAGCTTTTGATTCCCCCTCGAGTAGCCGATGCCGGTGGGTGTGGGGAACTTGAGGCAGAGATGCCTCATAGAGATGACGGCCTCCAAATCCTCGAGGGCGGGCCGGCCGAGGATGATGTTGTGTGCGCAGTCCAGGTTGACGACGACGAATTCCACTTCGAGCTTGGCTCTATGGGATCCGTCGCCGAATTCAACCATGAGGGTGATGACGCCCTCGGCGTCTATGCTGTCCCCCGTGAATCCGGAGAGGGGGGTGTTGATGTGTCGGAGGGACCCCCTGTCGAGTCCCAACTCTTGGAAAGTGCTGAGATACATGACGTTGACAGAACTCCCCGTGTCGACGTAAGTCC